CCCCCCCCCCCCCCCCGCCACAGATGCCCCTGTATTTAAATTAGAAGATAACCACAAGGTAGCATAAAGTGCATGCCTCTTTTGCCCCTTACATTACAAGTTTGACATTGTTGTATCCTTCAGTCCATTTTCGTTTGACAGTTCAGATGCCTGGATGCAACAACATGCTCTCCAACAAGCCCACTTGTCCCAGGATGGCCATTCACAAATGGGAACTGCATCCACTGGTGATGGTTCTGATCAGATCTCATAGGGGCAACTTTAAAGTTCATCTGTTAGTGTTATGGAACAACAGGCAAACGTTGGCAGCGGGAGCAGGTTATATATCCAGTTTCTTCATGACACCTTCCTTTATTTTTTGAATGGACCCTGTTTTAACGTTTTTGCCCATTCCCTTAGTGACTCTGCATTCTCAATCTGTATTTGTGTGATTCTCAAGAGTTGTAGTTTACCCTGTTGCTCTGTGTTACCCTTCAGAATTATTTCCACCTTCCAAAGCAACCCAATGTCCTCTCCATCCATGAGGGACAAATCTTTCCTCCAGACCTGAATTCCCTCTACCATACAGCCTGGAGGATTCCACAGTCCCTCTGGGACATTATAGGACATGGTTATGTTGGAATTTTTTTCCTTTTATCCTTCATCACAAAGTACTTGTCAGGCTTCATTTAGCATCTGGAAAAGTCCAGCGAACCTTTGTGGATTCTTCAGAATGGGAGAGCAAGAGTGTAGAAAATTATCTATGATCAACCATTACTATGAAGGCTAGAGATAAGGGGAATTTCAAATCTCTTCTGAGTGGGTTGCATGGCAAGAGAGTATAAATGCTTTGAGAGCTGACCAGATATAAATTCTGAACTATTGTTCCTTCTTATTCAGAAATTTTCAAGTGTATTATATGACTACCATTCCCTAGGATATGATACAGATATATTTTCTAGCCACGTGTGTCCTTGTTGGGGACCAACACTATTCTTTTTTCTAACCCACTGGTGAAAAGCCTGGGACATCTTGAATCACCTGGTGTCTCCACAATTTCCAGCGTCTCCCTTGTTCTCTCTGTTAATGTCAGAATCTTTTAAGCCATTGGCTTGTTGTTGTTTAGTTGTTAAGTCGTGTCCGACTCTTCGTGACCCCATGAACCATATTGCGCCAGCCATTGGCTACTGGACCATTTCATCTCGTCTCATGGAAGGTAGCCTTTTATGATATTGGTTGTTAGTCTTAGGAGGAGATTCTCCCTTCCTTGTTTTTCATAGGGACAAAATACTCCCGTGCCCAGATGTTTCCTTCCTTTCTAAGTTACATAAGGATTGCTTATACTTTTTTTCCTAATCCCTCTGCAGTCTTGGAAACGTTGCTTCATTTTTTGAATGTGTGTCATACCCTCTCATTTTGATTGGACCACATGATCCATATAAAGGGTATGAGTTTCCTCTCCCTGGGTTTCTCCAAATGGATAGTGGCAAACATCAAGCTTTGCTATGAGCTGCTCAAATGTTGAGCTGCTATTCTGCTCAGCGCTCATTTCACAAGAGCAACAGCAGCATCGATGGTCCTCCTTGAGTGTATTCCCCTACCTGAATTATACTGCACAGCCACATAGGCTCAGCTTTCCATCTTCATCCAGTGTTTTAGACAGAACTTTTCTCCTGGTGAGGTGTCATCCTCTAGGTAAGAAGCTTATTGCTCCAAAAGTTGTGTGAATCACAAAGATTGTGACAAAGAACTGATGACCAACCTATAAATGCAGTTCACTGAACAGTCATCTGTGAATCCACACAGCCTACCCTCCTACCCTGCTTGTTTTCAGATGATCTCACTGTTTCTCAAATCTATTGCGTTGGTCTTAGAAACTGAAAACATTCAGTGGGTGCTACACCTAGTCACATGGTATGCGTGTGAGATACAACGAACAATTCTATACGTTTTAGAGAATTCTAAATGGGCTCTGCAGAAATATATTACCTATGT